AGGGCAGAAAAGGTATCTGTCATGGAGCCCTGTGTTTCCATGGGAAGTCAGAGGCTTGGGCTGGTTCTCTTAAAAGCCCAATAGGTGCATAGCCTCACCTGCCTTTCTGGAGAATGGCCATAATCCTGGACACCAGCTGGACCCCCCTATTGTAACCACCTCAGCACAAATGTTCTTGGACCCCTCGGAGGTGGAAGCCATCTTTGGAAGCTACTCAGGAGGTCAAGAGGCAGGAGAAGAAATGCCTGCCCGAGCTCCGGTACCTCTTTATTCTTTAAGATGGATTTTTTCTGCAGCACCTTCACTGCGTAGAACATCCCGTCGGACTTGCGCTTGGCTAGTAGGACCTGAGCAGAAGCAGGAATACAAGCCCTCTGGGTGACTCTGGACGTCCCCAGGGTGACGCCTCCAGCCCTCCCCCTACTTGCATTCTGCAGTATGCAAGCTCTCTCTCTGCTCATGCAAGTGGCAGGCAGGGGTGCAGGAGGCCTCCCACCCCCATCTCCCCACTCACCTTCCCATAGTTCCCCTTGCCAATGACTTTGAGGAAGTCGAAGTCTGTGGGCCTGGCACTGGGGACAAGGGAAGAACATGATCGGCATTTGCAAGCTCAGGAAATCTAGTTCCTAAGGGCAAACCCAGGCTTCTTTTTAACTTTGGAGCCACGCCTCCTTGCCCCTGAGAACATCCTCTCCTCCCTGCCAAGAGAGGTTTGCAAGACTCACCCTTCACCCCACAGAGCTCATGGTCTAGTTAACAACAGGCAAGGAGAGAAAGCAGGCACCCTGCAGAGAAGGCAGGCCTCTGGCCCCCAGCCCAGGAAGGGCATGAAGTTGGGGAGCTGCTAACAGGGCAAGTCCTGGGGGCTTTCCAGAGGGAAGATTCAATATGGGCAAAGGCTGGAGAACTAGCAGAAGACAATGCTGGGGGAGGCCCTGGGCCCTGATGGCAGAGGGTCTTCAACACCAGACCAGAGAGTTTGGATTGCATTCCCAAGACATGAGGAGCCAGCTCCAAGGAGAGCCAGGCAGGAAAGCCACCTGAGAGAGCAGAATTCACTTTGGGTTGGCCGAAGGTCCCAGGTTGATGTTCCCATTGGCTCTGGAGGGCTGAAGACATTTAAAGGAAGAGGTGGTTAAGATTGGTCAACCTCCTCCCTTTCCCCAGCCCTGGCTCTGGCCCCTTCTCCAACATCGCTACCAGCCTCCCTCCCTCCATCTCTCCCTCCCTCCATCTCTCCCTCCATCCTTTCTTCAGTTCCCTTCCACCATTCTACTCACCTATGTACCTCCCTGTCCACCCCAGTCAGATAGCCACCATCCCACCTGCTTTTTACAAGAACCTTGGGCAGGTGCTGGCTATTGTGTGCTAATGTAAGGGTGAGAAAAGGAGGCCAAAGAGCTGTGGTCAAGGTCTTACAGGCAACAGGCTGGGACTTGAACCCCCTGTCTTCTCCATCAACGCCGTAATTCCTCCACCTCATACACTTCTTGAAACCCTTGCCCCAATCTCTCCTCAGTTCACTCTGCAAATGGCCCACCTCCATGAGCTCACGATGACCCTGTCACCTCCCAGTCCTGGTCTGGGACAGCCCATAGGGCTGGCTGGTGTCTCTACAGATTCCCTGAGCCTGGGGAGGAAGTGAGCTTCCCAGTGCTGGGCGGGAGGCCAGGAACACTCACCTGTGGGCTAGGCATCCCGTCAGGGCTAGAGGCCATTCTGAGGCTGTGATCGGGTGGGCTCTGGGGCACAGGGAGGGACAGGTGTGAGAGAGGCCCCATCCCAAGCATCAGGCCTGGCTGCCTTCTCCCTCCTCCCCACCCTGAACCCCTGCCACAGCCTGAGTGGCTCCTTTCCCGGACTCCAGCAGCCCCTACCTGGAGACGGCAAGAAGTGACATCCCCTGGGCCCAGCCTTTCTCACCAATACCTCAGAAGGGGTAGGGGTGGACAGGGTGGCCCCTTCCTGGCTGGGTCTTTTCAAAGGTCAGGGACAGTTAGAGCAGCAAGACCCCTGCTGGTCATGGCAGCTCCGGAAATCCAGGAGGGCCAGGGCTGCAAGTAGGCCCCACGTTTAAATCTTCCCCCACCTCTCAGGTGGACACCTGAGGCCTAGCAAAGAACTTTCTAGGACCGTAGAGTTTGTGAGGGGCAGGCTGTGCTCCCCAGACTCCCATATAGGCAGGTTGGTGACCCTGGATTCTGTGGATAGTTCCAGACTGGGCTCTATACTGACTATTACCGCCTTGCCGCAAGGACGTCTGCCCAGGGCCCAGGAACAGCAGTTGCCCTGGGGACCTTGGACTGAATCCATGGAGAGGTGCAAGACTGGCCAGTCAGCTGATTTGAGATCAGGCCATGGATGGAGTGACCAGCAGTGTCCTCCCCACCCTTACACTGCAGCACGGAAGAAGCCAGCACATTCAGACCCAGCTCAGGGTGCCTGGACCCCACAGCCCCTGCACCTCCTACCTGGACGGTCAAGGCTTAGAGCCAAGCTCTCTCCTGAGAGCCCAGTTGTTCCTGGGGGTTGTTGGAAACTGTGCATTCCAAGACCATAGCTTTGGCCTGCTGAGGGGCCTGGGCCGCAGCCTGGTCTCTCTTAGAAACCACCCATCTGTATAAGAGAGACCCTGGAGAGTGACCACAGGGGAAGGGAGGGACTCTTCCTGCCAGGCTGCTCTGAGAAGCCGGTCCTGCCATGCCCCAAGAGAGGGAGCTGCAGAACAGGAGTACAGCGACTTCAGCCCACACCCAGGGCCGAGTTCCCCAGGACAGCCCACGACGGGGCCACACCTTCCCTGCTCCCCCTGGTGGCTCCTTTGCCGGCCCGTGGCCTCCCTGGCCCCACATACCTGTGCAGCTGAGGAGAGGACTCTGGGAGAAGGAGCGGCTGGAGCCGAGGACCGCAGCGGACAAGAGAGCCCACACTGTTCTCCCAACAAGGGCCGATGTGTCAGTGCCTGGTGCCAACCGACCGGGCCCAGCAGGGAGCTCAGAACTCCCAGCAGCAGCGAAGGGGCTGGCTGATGTCACACGGGATCCAGCAGAGCTTAAGACAAGACAGGAGACTTCTATTCCCTCAGGGACACCATCTCCCCTGGGGGGCAAAGCAGGGGGTGGGCAACAGCCCCAGAAGAGCCTGGACATGGGGCTTATTGGAATATATGGGATTGTGTGTCATGTGCATGAGGAATTGTATTGGGCATTGATGTGCACCCGTGTGTCTCTGTGGCCTTGTCTTTCAGGTATGTGTGTGTGTGTGTGTGTGTGTGTGTGTGTGTAAGAATGTGTGTGTTGATGTGACTGCAGTTGTACATTTTGGTTAGTGTGTCTGTTTGTCAGTTTGTCAGTGTATCATTTGTGTTTCTGTGTGTGTGGTATGCTTCCACATGACCGTGTCGTGTGTGTCCGTGTGTATTTGTATACATGTTAGTGTGCTTGTGTGCGGGGGTGGATGGGAGTCTCTATGTGGGTGTCTCCTTGTTTGTCTGCGATGAGTATAAGTTTGTATCCCTATGTGTGTGTGTGTGACCACATCACCAGGTAAACATCTGTGGACGTCCATACTTGTGTATAGCAGTACATTTCTGTGTGTATATGCACGTGTGCACAAATGTACAGGGAGCCTGTCTGTAAGAACATATGGTCCAGCAGTCTAACCAGGTGCTGTGTAGACCATGAGGGGATAGAGACCTGGGCCCTGGCAGCTGACAGTGCTCTGCCACCCAGGAACTTGCAGCTGTTTCAGAGAGGCAGAGCTGATCTCCTGCTTTTGCTGCTGAGCACGTGGCCCTTGAGTCACCCCTGCCAGGCCAGGGCTGCTTGGCCCATAGCTCTCCTGATGTGTAAGAAAGTGTCCGGGGAGCACCCTGGCACACGTGGGCCTTGCTGTCAGGGGTGATCACCGGGTTCTTACAGGACAATATCTGCTCCCTGGGGCTCCTGAAGGGTGAGCTGATGTTCTAGGAAATGAAGGAGCTGATGAGCCCAACACAGCCCCTGTCCTTCTGGAACTTTCTGTGTGGCTATAACCTACTCCAAGAGAGGGACCCACAGAGCTGGGCTTGTTGGTCAGGAAGGGAACTGAGCGCAGTGGCCTCCAGAGCTCTCTGCGAGCTGTGAAATGCAGGTGTTGACCCAGGAAACGCCAGTGAATAGTATCAAAGTCTTTCATCTCCCACAAAATAGAAACGTGGACCCAACACACAGACCTGCAGGAGGCCGCATTGACAACATACTTAGCCAGAACAAGGGCATTTCTTTCCAATAATAGGACCCTGATGGCCCTTCATTCAGCAGCACTAGTTATCAGAACAAAATAACTGTGACAGCAGCAGCCTAAATGTTCCCCACAGGGCACTTCAGGCTCCTGCTCGACCTTCCACCCCGTCCAGGACTGCCCATCTGTCTGTTCTCTCAGTTAAACTCGTCAAAGGAGCTGTCTGGACTCAGCGTCTCTGCTCCCTTTTCTTTTCTTCTTGAACCCACTCCAAACAGGCTTCCGTCCCAACAGTCCAGTAAATTGGTGGACAGAGGCCTCCTTGTGCCAAAGCCGGCGAGGAATCCTGGGGCCTCCTCTTCCTCGACTTCTCTGCCGTTGAGAGGGGTTGGCCTCAGAGGTCCTGGGGCTCCTTCTAGCTCCCTGCCTGATCCTTCTCCATCTCTGACACTGAATTCCTTCCTCTTTATCCTTCAGCCCTGTCTTAGCCCTTGGATCTTTATCTGCACTCATTTCTTAGTTGATCAACACCCGTTTAATGGCTTCACTGATTATATAATCGGAGGCTCCCAAATTTCTCTTTCTAGCTCTAATTCTCCCCTGAACTCTGAACCAATTGCTTCCTTGACACTTCATTAGTTAGATATTTAGAGGGAACTCAGTCTTAAAATGGCCCAAACAAGCCAGGACTTCCATTCCTTCTACTCTGCCCCAGCCTGCTCCTCCCATAGGGTTCTACTGCCTATTTAAAAGTTCAAGTTGGCAACTTGGAAGTCATCCGGGAAACTTAGCACCCTCATCCCAATCCCACTTTCTCATGGAATTCCATCAAAATATGTCCAGAAAAATAAGACCTGCAGGGGAGGAGACACCTGCGTTTCAAGTGAATGGCGGCACTATTCATGATTAGCCAACATACGGAATTGGCCTTCGGGTCCATCAGTGGATGAATGGATTATGTATAATAGAATACTATTCAGCCATAAAAAGATTGAAATCCTGTCATTTCTGGCAACACCAATGAACTTGGCAGACATTATGTTAAGTGAAATAAGGCAGGCCCTGGGAGACAAATAGTGCATGATCTCACTCATTTGTGAAATTTTAAAAAGTTGTCATAAGAGTTAGAGAATAGAGAGTAGAATAGTGGCTACCAAGCCTGGTGTGGTGGCTGAGGCAGGAGGATCATAAATCGGAGGCCAGCCTCAGTGACTTAGTGAGACTCATGGTCACAAAATAAAAAGTTAAAAGGTCTGGGGGTATAGCTTAGTGGTATAGCTTATCAACCCCTGGGTTTGATCCCCAATATCACCAAAAAAAGAAAATCAGATCACGTGTCTTCATTGCTAAAAACTCCAGTGTCTTCCCATTGAACTTAGAATTAAAGTTCTGAGTGTCTGCCAAGTTCTTAAGAGATTCCACATCTCCAGCTTGTCTTCATTGCTTCCTGCCCACCCCCCCCCATCCCCTGATGGTCCTCAGGGCATCCACCTGCCTCATTCATCCTACCCGGCTGCTCTGGCTCCCTCTCTCTGTCCCTCAGACACACAAAGTGCCCTCTGGTCTCTGGCCCCTTGCACTTACTTTTCCCTCTGCCTAGAAAGTTCTTCCCCAAGACATCTGCACGTCGGGACATCACAGAGGTCTCTGCTTTAGGATCACCACCCAGAGAGGCCTGTGCTGTTTATAGATGCCAGGTTGTCATGGTTTTTCTGGGACTCAGGGCTGTCAGTGTTAAAACTGGTACAGTCCTGGGCACACGAGGGTGGTTGGTCACTAACAATAGCAGGGCCACCTCTTCCCTACATTCTTTTTCTGTTTATATTTTGCTTTGTAGCACACTCATCGCACTGGCACCTTATCAAGCCACTATTTAAATGGTTTTATTTTCTGTGTCCAACTAGAACATGAGTTTCATAAGGGCAAATACTTTTTTTGTTCACTACTGAATCCTCGTCATTTAGAACAGGCCTGGAACTAATAGATGCTCAGGACATATTCTACTAAGGAAATCAGGAATGGCTTGATTAAATCATGGTATATACATAAAGTGGAAAATTCCACAATCAAAAACTCCATATAAGGGCTGGGGATGTGGCTCAAGCGGTAGCACGCTCGCCTGGCATGCGTGCGGCCCGGGTTCAATCCTCAGCACCACATACAAAGATGTTGTGTCCGCCAAAAACTGGAAAATAAATATTAAGAAAATTCTCTCTTTCTCTCTCTGACTCTCTCTTAAAAAAAAAAAAACTCCATATTAGCCTAAATAAATCAAAATGGGAACCTGTAACTGATGCAATCTCAAGCAAAAAAGCAAATTTCAAACTGGTCCCTACATACACAAGTACGTCCATGGATATTTGTGTGTCTAACTTCACACACACACACGAAGGTGGGAGGCTATGACTGTAGATTCCTAGGTTGCTTTTATTTTCACTTTTGACGGATTATGTAAAGTTTCCCCACATGTTACTGTTCAGTTAACATTTAAATATGAAGACCCTGCGGGAACCTGGACGCACCCATTGCCCACCACCACCCTCTCCCATCGCCTTGACCATGACTCCCACTCCTGGGCATCTCTCCCTGCCTAAGCTTGCTTCCTGGCTGACCACTGTCTGATTATTTGGCTGGAGGTCAGGCATTGAAATCTCCTGACTCTGTCCTGTGGCAGCCGCTATGAAGGGCCCTGTGAGCCCTTAGGCCTGTTGCCCACCCCCCACGACTTGCCACAGCCGAGACCTGCCTTCCTCTGCCCTGTCACACTGTGGGCCTGCAGAACGGGCTGGGGCAGGGGCATCACAGAGTTCTCTTTCCTTGGAACATTCCCCTCCACCTGGTCTGCTTGGGTAACCCTGTCGAGGGCCTGATGGCCTTACCAGAGCCTCACCAGCGCTTCCTTCCTTCTGTTTTTCTGCACCTGCCCCCCACCTCCCCCCATTATCATTTATTGATTTGCCTCCCTGTCCAGCTCAAGGTCAGCTGGCTCTTATGTTGTCCCTACAACCCCGTGGGTTAGAAGCTGTCATTGTCTCTGCTTGAAGGAGGAAACTGAGGCATGGAGAAGGGAAGTGATTTGATCAAGTCTCGAAGTCAATAAATCATGTAACTAGAATTTGAATCAGGCCAGTCCCCACTCCCAACCGTGGTCTGGACTTTCCAAAGGGAAAAGGGAGGAATGAAAGTGGGGAAGAAGTGAGGATGTAAAAGGTT